CTTCTTTCTAAGCACTGTCTCATTCCATTACTTCTATTTCATACAAAGATTTCCGGCGAGTCCTTCAAAGACCGTAACATCTTCAAAGGCACTTGATATAAAGTATTTTTTATTCTTGATTTCAGGCAATCTTTACCTACAGAGTGCCTGTCATATTTTGACCAAGAAACAGGACTACTTGAAGCTCCCATGTTGATACGAGTGGCTGACCAGGTAATGTCATTGTTGTAGCAATTTGGTTGCTGATAAACGGACCTAACAGTTCTGTATTTTGATCATCTAGACCCGTGCTGTCCCGTTYACTGTACGAGCCATTGTAACATCATCAGACATTGAATTTAACGTCCAGGAATTAGACTTTGGCNGATCTTATGCAAATGTTATTGACTGTAAAAAAAAACTCATGTGATGATGCAATACACGCTTCATTTTTTCACTTATTACATCATTGTTTCCTATCTTATAATTAGATTTGATTGTTATTCATCACGAGCAAAACAAAACAGTTTTTATTGAGTCCAAATATAATTACGGACTTGACTTTTTGTTGACCAGCCTTTGCTCGGCTTTCTCAACAAAACGGTTCACACGCAAGAGACACCCTAGGTGGTTACTCCCTCCTGCCATTGATCTTGTGGTATTTTTGGCCGAAACAGGTGTCAACCTTTTTGAAAATATTTGAAGCTAAGCTTGTACTAGATGCTGCATGGTACAGTTCTGCATGTGCTATGATACAAATTATAGCAAAGCTTGGCACAAAGACTGAAGCGCATGTCAAGTCTGCTCGGAAAATGAAATTAGTGTTCGTGTTTTGTTGTGATGTAATGATAACACAAAGTAGCAAAAAGCTGCAATACGTGAGAGAATAGAGTCTGTATTACGGACACCGGTGAAAAACGCACTGCGCATGTCCACAGCTTTCCGTTGAAATCTGCCTAATTTCCTTTGTAAAGCGATTTTTGTGAAAGTTTTTTACAATTTATAAGCTCGTTCACGGATATATAAGATTCATATTTCCATCAATCATTGTTCATGATATGTTCTTTTAGTATGTAGTTTCTATTTTTATCTTGTTATTTCTATTTTGAGAAAATGAGGTTTTTCGTAGTGTTTTTGTGTTGTCGCTGTAAATCGCCAGGCGCTCTGTTTACAGATTTCAAGACGCGAGCGCCCACTGGCGGGAAAGCTGTGGGCATGCGCAGTGCGTTTTTCACCAGTGTCCCAGATGGCAGTAATGTCCACGTGCTCGAGGAAGAAAATGTCTCACTATGTTAATAATCTAGATGACACGTTCGATCCCCCAAAAGAGAGGAGAAATAGTCTCCTTCACGGTTCCCTTCGCCATCTTGAAAGGTAGCCGTGCCTTGTCATCGAAGCGAGAGGACCGTTGAGCTTGCAATGATAGAAACCTTCTTTCACACCTACAGACAATTATTCACAGGTATCTATCATATTGCACACTCAACGGTTGTCCTGCTTCGGTGCAAAGGCACGGCTACCTTTCAAGATGGGGCAGGTACTGGGTGATTGATTTGCGACCAGGCCTGCATATGAATTCGCCAAGGTTGTAAGCCAGTGAGCCCGTGCATTTTTGTTAAGTGGTCATATTTGAAAGTGTAAATAAAGAAAAGGGAAAACCCGCAGCTTGCCTTTCACTTAGACAAACAGTACAAGTTGTGTTAAATTTATTTACATAACTAAAACACAATGATTATAGAATTAAACCTTTAAGAATTGAATGCTCATTAATTTTCCACTTTAAATACACACGTGTTTTTCAGAAGGGAATTTAGTCGAGCTTTTTTCACGATGGAATTTTGTTTTGAGTCGTTTCGACATAAACAGTCGCTATCACCATTACACGAAAAATCCCAGTCACCGTTCTAGCTCTCATTGTAAGGTCAAAGCTAGTAAATGTGTAACTGACCTGTTGCATAACGTCAACCCGTTGTATTGCCGAGTACGCTTGCGGCTTATTGCCGAAAATGGGACAAAGTATGAACTACGAAAGTTGTTTGTACCAAAATAACTAACTCTATTGGAATACGTGGAGCTAAGCTGCTCTAGCTCTTCCAGTGGATGTTGTAGATACCTCAAAGCTTAGAGGAAACAAGAGCTAAGAAAAAGGATTTGCAATGGCTCCTCCTAAGTTACTTTAGACTTGAACGTCGATCGCTTCAACGATCTTCCGTGAAGTCTTTGTGACGTCGGCCATTGCTTCGCATGCAATGGAGAACCCGCGTAGAACACGGACCAGTTTTTTTTTTATCAGGGAGGGGAGTCTCGTGTTATTAAAAATAAAATTATTTGTTATTTAATTTTTAAGATAAAATTCTATTTCTATAACGATAAATAGTTGATTGACATTTAGTAGCTATTTTATAAAGATTTTCAATTTCTCTTTGCGTTTAGCTTTGATTTTTYGGATAGAATAAAATGGCAGGCAGCCTACTCCACTCGGTYGAGTTTTGYTGTGCMAATTCCTCCCGTCGGRGGGTTATGTTTACAACATAAGCTTGTCAGCTTTGCGCTGATTGGCTAGTCGCATTTTCTCAAATCACCCAGTAACCGTGAAGGAGACTATTAGTACCCCTCCCTATCCAAAAAGTAATAATAACAGTTCTAAAGAAATAAAAAAAATGAACACGGAAAAAAAATAGAACAAAACTCGACTCTCCACAAATGAAAGAGGAGAAAATACGTTATATTGTAATGCATACTATTTCTTTCCCGTACCGAAATGCATTTTTGCTAGTTAACACAAMTGATTTTCGTGTATTTCAGACTGTCGATGTCCAGCCAAACGATGGCTTTGGAACTTTGCTTCCCTTTGAAAGACTTGACATTGATATCATTTTCAATGCTAAAAAGGCAAAGGTTGGTTGAAACAGTTGTATAAAAAAGATAAATTTAACACCGTAAAAAAAGTATGTGAAATAAGTTACTGACGTTTCGGACGTTAATCCTTCGTCGGAGTAAAGAGGAAAAAGGTTGGCTGATGTTGAAATTCGTATCTCACTAAAGACCCACGTACACCCGAGAGCCTTTGTGGTCATATCTTTTGTTTCATAAATCATCTCAATGAAATTTGCTTACTGATTGATTCAAAATCAAAGATGGCGAATTCTTTAGAAAATCGTACAAAGGTCCTTGGATGCAATTTTGTCTTTGAATAGTTTGTTGAGCTGAAATATGGACAGTATTGCTGGTCAGATATCAAATAATCTTAGCCAACCATTTCGCATGAATAGACCTTCAGTATTAAACGTTCACATGGCACTAAATCCGCCATACTGGGTGGCAAAAGAATGCCAACAACCTCAAAAACAAAAGGATAGCAGCCCGTCAAACTAGACTTTTGTTTGTTTGAATATCCGAATGCTGAGTAATGAATGTTGAGGTAGTGAGTGTGAGTGAACATATAGAGGTCCACAAGTTTACTAGTCTAGGGACTATTACGTGCTACCCTTTCAAAATAAAAAGTTTATTATTACGAATGGATATTTTGCCATCCAACATGGCGAATTTAGTAACATGTGACCGTTTCATTCAAAAGGCCTATTCCTCTATTTCAAGACAATGTCACATGAAAATTTTCTTGAATATTCTCCTCTTTTTTCCATCTAGGAGTACACGTTCGTGTTAACCTGCAAGTCAGGTATTGGTCGGGAATTCAAACTACCATGCCGTGCAGTTGGTGTACTACCTCCTTTAGAACTCTCCCACACTCTCATTCAAATGAAAGCCACCGCCATCGACGACACGTGCTCTTCTCACCTTGAAGTGATCAACCCCCACACTAGTGCCAATGAATTTACTCACCCAGTACCTAGGATAGGGACTGGACCTGTTTGTGAAGTTGGACCAACATCGTTTGAATTTGTTGTACCTCAAGGAGCGCCACTTAATGTATCGCCTTCTGTAGGTGTGGTCAATCCGGGCAAGGTAAGCTTCTTTGGCCTGTTTTGTACCTGGTTAGAACAGTGTACAGTGCCAGAGATAATAGAGAGGTTTAGCATGACGTTTACGGCAAACGCCAAACGGCAGAAAAGATCACGTGACCTGCTTTTTTGAGTTTAACGTTGCAGTTTCAACGCGAGGGCGGGTTATTTTGAGGTTGCCATAATCGTGAAAAGTCGCTCTTTCAAATGACTACCAAAAGCACAAGGTCGGGCATGAAATTCTTAGGTCATTGGTTCAGCTCTGCCGTTAGCCGTTTGCCGTCAAGGTGATGCTAAAACTCTCTAATGTTTTGTCATCTCTGTTAAAGATGGAGTATGTTTTCTATAAGATCTTATTTTATATCTTTACAAATTAAAGGCATTACTTCCCCGGTAGTCGTCAATTTAAAAGATTCAGGTTATCGCCCAACATAAGACAACACTATAAATCGTGTGGAGGGGAGATTAAAAGAATGGGAGAGAAGAGTTTCTTTAATATGCAATTTTGGTTCATTCGRGACAATACTACTTATGTCACCATCGTATGTGAGGTTTTATCCAGCTTATATCATGCTCAGCCCCAACCGATAGTTATTTATGAATGTACATATTTCAGCGTTGTATTGTTCATGTGACCTTCAACCCTCGTTTGGATGTTCAACAAGTCAAACAAGAGGCAGTGAAGATTATCGAACGTGAGGCTGAGGCTGAGAGGAAAAGAAAGGAGGCCGCGTCTCCCACTGAGAAATCACAGGAAGCTCCATCCAACCAGGTAGCGATTTATTACTAACTAGACGCATAGCTGCGTGTACTCGGGGTTCTGCTTGATTGTAAACGATGAAGTGACAACAGTTTGTAGAATTCGAATTCCTTAGATAAGTACTTTGTAGTTTTTAGAGCCTGCATAAGTTCGTATATAGTTCGCTTGTGCTAAGATAGGTAGCTTGTTTATTAAACAATTCTCGATAGACTCGGTCAAGACAGTATGATAATTTCACAATATAAAGTTTCTCGATAAATTCGCTGTATCTCTTGAAATACCCTTTCGAAAAAACGCTCGGCATATATTGGTGTCGCTATACCACGAAAGTGTGGATTTGTAAGTGCTTTGAGCGTATTTGAAGACGTTGAATCTATGTCTTCTTCCATCACGCTTTCCACTCTGCTGAGCTTGGGCTACCTGTGGGCAATTTGTGACTGATAAGCGACGACAATGAAAAAAAAGAAGGCCGAAATTTAAACTCGGGATTCCTGTGGAACCCCGAGTAATTAACAATGGGGACATGAAGACCAATTTCATAACTGCCCACCATCGATTTTTATACAATTGACAATATTATGRAAACATTCAACACTGCCTTATGGAAGAACTATTAGAAATAGGTATTCGTGGAAAGTTTTGAAGTTTTAGACCAAATACTAACAAAGTTAAGGAGAAATAAAAATTCAGGGATTTGTATGGAATTCTTTGCTAAGGTCTTGGTAGCCATGGTTTAATCTTTTTTCTGTGAACTTTCAGAGCTTATCTTTAGCTTTGATATCTATCATCTGAGTGTTTTCTTTTGTCAGTGTTATGTATTTAACGATAATATGCTAATTGGTGTCGGTCATTATGAAAGTCGTCAATACTGCGGTCGAACATGTGCACATTAGTGGCCCTTGAGCCATTTATGCCGTATCTTCGAGAATTAAAGATTCTATGCAGAAAGGTGTCACCTACTTATATATAATTACGAAATTTCTTCTAAATTGAAAAAATGTAGTTACAAATAAAAAAAAATTTCCACTTGACCCGACGAAATATCGACGCATAATTAACGTTGAATGATCGACGAAGTAACGACAAAACAGCGACAGAGTGACGAAAAAGTAACGACAGAGTAACGACAAACACCAACTGATTTTTTTAACAGGTGTTAATATTACATTTTTCWTTTACAGAAAAAGAAGYCAAAAGGTAAAAGTGGGAAATCATCGCCCAAGAGAAATGCCACACCAAGCTCTCCAAGTCACTCTAGAAAACCATCAGCAAAGATTGCCGCCAAACCGCAGTGTAACGTGGAGGACATYACTGAAGGGTATTTATTARAATTCAAACACTAAAATCATGAAAAAGTACTAATCAAATAATTGCTAAGGGCCAGTCCACAGTGCGACATAAGTAGAACCAGATTCAAAAGCTGCTCCACACTTGACACAAGCATGAGCTTAAAGAATCATAACAAACCGCCGTACCTTGCGAGCCGAAGCGCCATTTTAGGTGGACACCAAAATTGCGGATTCGTAGGATTTCTTAAAGTGAGCGCGAATCGTCTTCCATCTTTCAGTTTGGACAGAAATACCTTTAACTAAGTACCTCACAGGTACTATCAATCTAT